GATGCCAATAAATCAGTCTCACAGCCATTTTATCCAAACAGACGTATCCAAAAAGGGATGATGGTTGCCATAGGTATAAGAATGAGTGTCATCACCAACGTGGTTCTCGAACAGAAAATAGAAAGAAGCTAGGGCTGCAATGATCAATCGACAATAAATTGGTGATCAAATTCGATCCATTAGGGTTTTCAAGTCGGATTTCCAGTCACACTTCGGGTTGCCAAGTAAGGTTAGGGTTTAAAATTGGGGATTTAAAAATTAGGGTTTCAAACTAGGGTTAGGATTTCAAAGTAAGGTCACAATAACTAACAATGGTAATAAATCCAATGTCAGATTTTGTGACCACAGGTTTTAAAGTATTTAAGGTTTCAAAGGAGGTTAGTGTTTCAATGTAGGACTAAATTTAGGATTTCAATCGAGGATTAGGGTTTCAAAGTATGGTTTCAAACTCTGGTTAGGGTTTCATGTAGACTTTCCAGCTACGCTAAGTGTTTCCAACTAGGCTTAGGGTTTGTAATTGGGGTTTAAAACTAGGATTAGGGTTTAAAAATAGAGTTAGGGTTTCAGAATATGGTTTCAAAGTAGGGTTTCAAACTAGCATTAGGGTTTCAAGTAAGGTTTCCAACCACACTTAGGGTTTCCATGTAGGGTTAGGGTTTCAAACCAGGGTTGTGGAATTTTCTCTGCTAGCTCAACCTGAGATGGTGTAAAGGCACGCTTCCGCTACATGTTTCCCGAAATCAAAACATCTGTCAACCATTTCTATTAACATTGATGTAAGATGAGTTTGAAATGATATTGAAGTGTGTTGGGATCATCTAATTCTAAAACACTTTTCGGCAAGCCTCAATTAGTGGTCTTTAGCTCTTCGTGAAAGGTCTCCCTATCATCGGCGAAGAGCGACAGTTTACTGTCACGGTAGCTAGCCAGCTAGCCAGCTCGACATGTTTGCTGATGACGCCCATTTCTAATGCACTTTGAGGCCCTTTTTAATTGACAAACATTTCCCTTCATTCTTTACCGGCCATCCATTTTGCAGGCAAGACAGGACAGCCTGCTTAGGTCTACGGAAAATCAGAGGCCTTCCTCGGGGACTCCGCTTTCCCGAAAATGACTGACACATATCACACACAAGTCATTCACTCCAGGTCAGTGTTTACAACAGCTGTACCCTGTCCTCTTTCCTTATAAACATCCAGAGGAACATATTGTTTGACACCAAATCCCACCCCCCCCTGCTCCTCGCCTCAAAACATGCCAATCAACTCATATGTCAATCTTCAGGGTGACTGCGGGATGGATTACGGAACACGACGTCCCTTAGCTAGCCTGTAATATTATGATGCATTCGCATTCTATCCCACATCCCTGACCGGGGCCTCCAGAGATGATTAAACGCGCAGGCGGCCGCCACCACTGAATTCATTTGAATAAGAACCACGCGCGCAGTTATTCGGCCGATAAACAACGCACGGAAAGCCGGCCGCTAATGCCTGCAACCTGCACTGTCAATAACAGCCCAAGGAGTTGTTTTGTTTTTTGACACATGGAGCATGTTTGCTTGTGGTGATGTGCTGACAGTTCAAGCAGTGACAAGGAATATTCCCGATCAAAATAGGTCACTTCTTGTTTTAAGACAGTCGGCCCCAACCCCCTGGCCGCGGACCAGTACCGGTCCCTGGGTCATTTGGTACCGGGCCGCGCAGAAAGAATAAATAACTTACATTACTTCCGTTTTATTTATTTCGCACTCTGACAGATGTTTTATTTTGAAATTTTGCCGGATTCTCTATTACATCCGTCTTCAGTATGTCACTCTTGATGCAGGCCATGGTGCGCTTCTCTGTCACGTGACAGGTTACCGCTAAATTGAAACCCAGGAGCTAGCAAAATGAGTAAAAAACAAACAAAAAAAACGTCTCTGGGAAGGGGGAAAGACCCAGCCAGGAGACAGAAGATGAGTCTCCGCCTTTGAAGAAAAAGAAGGCTCCGTTTAATAGAGAGTATCAGGAGTCCTACTTTAAATACAAATTCATCTCAACGGGAGATTCCCACGCACCAAGCCCACTCTGCATAATATGTGGCGATGGTGAGTCGTATTTTTCATGCACTTTTTATTTGCAGTGTATCTTATTTTGAAGGCACGTTTAAACGTTACGATAGCGACCAGAGAGCGTTGCGGCCAGATCGTACGTTTCTCGTGTCGTGATTTGTGTTTATTATTATGTTTCTAAAATGCCACAGTTTTCATGCGGGCCATATCATATTATTTTGTTGTATTTATCCAGCCTTAAAGGCCAGTCCCTGAAAATATTGTCTGACATTTAACCGGTCTGGGGTGCAAAAAAGGTTGGGGACCGCTATTTTTAGCCACCCACTTTTCAAGTGAGCAAAAGTATTGGAACAGACATCATGAATGAACCCTTTCGGGGACAGCGGTTTCTACAGTGGAGAGCTTTTCCTGTTATTAGGTTACAGGGTGCATGAAAGGGTTAAAAGAACTTCAAGTGACGAACATTTAACATTTGATGGCATATAACCCTTAAAATAACTGAATCAAGCCTACAAGCCATTGTCGGCTTCACCAAACGATTGCGTTTTTCTTTCTTCCAAGTTTTGTTTTTGTCTGGGGGTTTCTACCAAGTGTCCCCTCACGGTGAAAGTCCGGTGATTGACTTTTCCTTCCCGTTCTTTTTACTGGTGAGTGTTTTGCTGGTGCTCCGCGCTGTAAAATGCTCAAGCTTCTCTTGTGTTATTGCGGGTGCAATTACCCACACTGCAGAATAGATTTGATTATCTCCTCATCTGCGGAGCAGAGGTATGACAATGTCTGCATAAAAACCGATGCAGACACTGTTACTGATAAATTATGCATGACGCTCGTGGCTTTATTTTAAGGGTCACCTGCGACACAGTTGGGTATGGTGGTGCAAGCGTAGACAATAATTGCCCGTTCGGCCAAGCAGAACACTATGTTTTATCAGACCACAAACTCCCCAGTGGCGCATAACGGACACGTTAATGCAATGAAATCTTTATCTGGCCCTGGAAAGTCCCCTTATGAATCTGACTTAATGACGTGAGTAAACACAGAATGGTTTCAGCCAGCGTAATGTGCCTTTGTGGTTTGCACGTTTGCTAATGAGGCAGCAGGGGGAATGGGGAGATGCATTTGGCCCAGGTGATTTGAACCACTTCCTGGATCAAGAATCTTTTCTGTGTTGCTGAAATTAGATGATTTTAGCATTTGACCAAAGTGCGTGACTGTATATCTGCTCCATATACTTTTTGGCCAGTGGCGGTTGGGGGTCAGAGAATTCTGCATGACCCTTTCATGATCGCCTTTTTGACGACTTGGTTGCTTTAAAGTGGCTATGGATCTTCCCCCAGCCGACCTCAATGTCAAAGCAAAGTGGGGGCAGTTATACAAATAAGGAAGTGCTTACTATGGGCGGGCAGGAACTCTAGAGACCCGACTACTGTATTTGTGTCGAATTTTCCTTTGAAACATTTGCATGTGTCTCGCTTAAAACAATGAAATATATTTTTCCTATCCTGGAACTGACTGGGGACCAGTTCAGGGGGGTCGTCAGCTGGGATAGGCTCTAGCAACTCCGGTGGCCCTCTTTGGGACAATCGTTGAAAATGGATTGATGGATGGATTATTTTGTTAGAGGCAGCCATGTCATCTACAAAAAAAAAAAAAAGAAAATGAGGTGGCAACACATTTATATTGTAAGATTACTTGAGGCACTTTCATCTCTCCAGCAATGCAATGCAATCAAACAATGACTAATTTGACCCAAATCTCATTGCGGGGATTTAGTATGTAAATTTAGAAAAATATCTCGAGGCAAACCACTGATTTCCACACACACACACACACACACACACACACACACACACACACACACACACACACACACACACACACACTCAAAAAAATAATTGAATTCAGCCGTGAACAAACGAACAATGTCATTTGTTCCATTATAGTTGATGCATCAGTTTTGGGAGCAGAAGTTTGCAGGGATGTTCAATTAAAATTGCAATTTTCCTTATGAGTTAGTAAATTAAAAAAGAAGCCTCCCCTCGATTATGTAAAACCACAAATATTGGTTTCTTCATGCAACAAACTTATTATTGCAAATTAGAAGCATGTGCCACTTATCATATCACATCGTTTTTTTTTTCCTCCCACGTTTCGTTTTTAATTTACATTTGGACATTGTGGACTTCCACCCAGTAAAATGGCTGAGATAACTGTTAAAGTGTTTACACTGAGCAACACTTCTTTTGGGACATATTTCGAACTGGTTGAGGGGACTCTTAAATTGTAATTTACTTCCGCATAATTTCGTGCTGCGTTCATTAATTCTCGTAAATCTTTCATCCATTGTTTTTTTATTACGTGGAGGGGGGGGGGGAATACGGTGGGGGAACGCTCCCGTAAAAAAAACCAAACAAACAGGCCTTCAAGTGGCTTTTCACTTTTTACCACGAGATGGCGGTGACTGCAAACTAATTCACGCCGGCGTTCAAAGATTGAATCCACCACCGTTAAACCGGAAATATCGACTCGCCGCTTTCATTGTCCTATTCGGTGGGAGTGAGCCAGTCATTAGCGGCTAATTAATCAATTAGTCATCCGGCTACTGTTAATTGTGTTTGGCATGTGCATTACTTCCCTGATTACGATAGTAATAACGTCGCCTCTATGATGAAGGAGTCCAATTAACTTAAGTGTTGTGTCGGTTGCACAAACGAGCGTCTCGCTTTATTGTAAATGTGCAAATATGGTGCGTTTGGGTTCAATTTTTTTTTTGTGTGTCCACGTGTTGGACCAACGATTTTTCGATTCATAGGGGCCATATAATTAAAAATCTTATTACAAATAGCATAAGATAATAAACTTGCGTCTTTAGTCAAAGGAAGTGGGCGAAATACGGCATTCAAATTTAGACAAACTTTGCACTCCGGGGAGGGAAGCGGCGTTCTCGTGGAGACAAACAATGGATGAGTCGCTATGGAAACAAGGTCGTAAACGGACGGCGGCTGTCGTAAAAAGGCTGCTGTAGAAAACGAGTGGCGAGATAACCTATTGTGGTTAGATGAGCGGAGTAGTGAGCCGAGCCGCTATTCGGGAAAGAAGAGCGAAGAACAAGCACCTTTCTCGTCCCTATAAAGGCACTCATGCTATGCGGACACATATGGACGTCCTCGCGCCACGCCAGTCCTCGGCTCTTTTGTGAGGAGAACGCCGGAGGAGCTGGTATACGAAGAGTTAAGATTCGACATCCTAACTGTTTATCTGAGTGGCTAGCAGGCTAGCTGGGTACATGCACGGGGGGGAGCCGCAACGGGGAACGGAGCAGTAGCTCGCGTGTTCGGATCGATGGGAACCGAACCCAGTAGAAATTGCCTTTTGTTGCTCTTTTTGTTGCCTTGAAGTGGTCCGAATCACCCAACGCCTCAACTTTGAAGAATTGACCGACTGAGAGTCGAGCGTCCGCTGTTACTCTTTTTTTTCTCCTTCCACTTATCCAGGAAAGAAGTTTAATGTCACGCAACGCAGGTTTGTTGGCTTGGCTTTAATTTGACTTTCATCTTTTTAAGTCGGTTCGAAATCAGCATGAATGTTTTCGCCTTTAAAGTGAATGTGGATTTTTTCATTTTATTTTTTTTACTTGACCGCGTCCGTGTTTTTCCTTTACACGAGGCTTCGCGTGACACTTTTGTTGCGTTTTCTTTGATGAGAGCAGCCGATAAGAACATTTCTTTTCTTATCAGATGCCCCCATCCTCTCAGTAGTACAAGACGGTAACTTAACCACTAAAAACGGCTGCGTGTTACGTTTTACAGCAAGAGAACACTTTGTGTGAGTCAATTAAGAACATAGTACGGCAATTGCATTTGGAATAAATTGGCATAAATTTGGTATAATCATCTGACAATGTTGCATTTGGACACGGGATGTTTGAAATGCAGAGCAAATCAATATAACCGTGACATTGGTGTCTCTTTTAGCTCAAGACCATAAACAGACGTGATCACATCTTTCCCAAACAGTATTTAAATAAATCCAAAACAGCACATAAATAAATGAGGTTTTAGTGTTTCACTCTTAGTCCGTTCCAATTTACGTTCCGATCGAGAGCGTGGAAAGCCCTTTTTGAAAATAACCTGTTACAATTTTTGACACCTACTTGTCAGTGAACTTTGCATCTATTTGCTTTGTTTTTGCATGACTTATTTGTTTTCGAAATGTACCGGCATTCAAAATGAAACAAGACCTGTGCACATAGAAATTTAACTTCCACGGCGCCCTCAGCGATCCCTGTTTTTACCCACGTAATGGGACTTAATTTCTCACAAAGACTCGACATAGTTCCCCTCAAATGAGAATATTTGTGGCGACTGTTGGTCAGGACTCACGGTGGTGGTGGTGGTGGGGGGGTGCCTTGTAATTGTAGCCTCAAAGCTCTCCCAGGAATAACAACGCACTTTGCTTTGTGACATCAAGCCCTGAGTGAGTGAGTGTGAGTGTGAGTGTGTAAAAGTGTTGTTAATGAATCAATGAACCGCTGTCCTGTATGAATAATTTGTAAGCAGAGCCGGGGAGATTTCATAATCACCTTGGGTCGGCTGCGTCATTGTCAAAATGACACAGTGGCTACATGTTGAATTCTTTTTTTTTTTTTTTTCTTTTCAGGAACATTGGCGGCTTGCTGGAAAGCTGGCCTGGGACGAAACGGTTCAATATTGAAGATACTGCTTTTTTTGTTTTAACGGCCGTTTGATTTCCTTAAGCCTTTAAACATCGGCTAAGTCTTTTTAAAAAAAATCAATCTAAATAAGCCTGCGAACCTCAAACAGTCTAGCACTTTATCACCTTGAAATCCTCAAAAACAAATAGATCCCTGGATTAATAATGTCACCGGGAGAGGAGAAAAGGGAGGCTTCTGTTAATTGGTGCTGATTTTTGAAAAGACTTAATGTGCCTCGAGGAGTTTGAAGTGCTCCAGTGATTAGGATCCCTCTCATTGCCGGGCTGCCTGTGCTCTTTCTCTTGTGAGTTTTTTTTTTTTTTTGGAATATATTTTTTTTCCTCTACATGCGATCAAACATTATTGACTCCCCCAGTCGATAACTTTGGCAACTGGAGTCTCGCCATCGCAATGACAGCCAGGGTGAGAAAGTGGAAGCCTCGTCTGATGTTTTGGCTGACGCCGCCAGCAAACAGTGTTTAACGCTTTTTCTTTTTAATGTGTGGGCTTTCAGACTTCAGTTCTGCTGTGCAGTTGGGTCGTTTAAGGTACGATGACGGAGCTAAAACTGGTTTGCACGATGCTGTTGTCAATTCAAGGCGCAAAAAATGACCTAAAAACTGTACAGGTTTATGATAAAAGTTCTATTCTTAAGGCTGCAAACGATCTTGAATTTCGACACAAGTCGGCTTGTGTCGTCGTTTATCAGTCACGCACACGAATGCGGTCGTGCTCGCCGCTCTTAACATTCAAACATGGAATGTCATGAACTGTAGACCCGTTACAATATGCAGGCCAGGCCAGTAGATCAAGAAACTCGATGGCCTCTTTTGGAAAGTAAAGCCTCCTAACCTTTGCACCACCTATTGTTAACCTTTTGCGGAAAATATCATTGAATTAGAGCCAGATGAGAATCCACTTGTCCCAGTCAACGTCATTCGGGGCGGCCACTATTGCTGACGTCAACGTCTCGCTCGAAACTGTGGTCATCTCTGCCCCGTTCCTTTGAAAAGAACTCCTAAAAGATGATGTAAAACAAGTCGTGTCATTTCGCAAAAGTTGGGCAGCCGTAACTTGTTTTTCATCCAAATATATCGTGTAAAAATAGCTTTGCTGCTTTAGCGTAGCTCAACGATTTGATTGATCCGGGCGTAGTCCAACTGGTAGAAATGAGGGATGCTTTGCTACTGAAGAAATGGACCACAGTGGTAAACCGGGGCTCTGCCGTTGTTCGTTGTTTCTGTCAGTGAGTTCCAGATCGGTTCTCGAAATCGAGATGGGCATTCCGCGATGAATTTTCGATGTTAGAATCGTGCTCACCGAGCACACTCTTGTTGCCTGGCAAAGGTCCATGTGTATGATTCCCAGCTTTCCTTTGAATGACAACAGGTTGTCAATTTTTTGGGAGACCGCAAACGATTTCAAACTGAAGCGGAGGCACCTCTGCAGGTTGCCGTTAGGTCAGGCACCCTGTTTGGCCGCAACTGCTTTCACGACTTAATTCGTATTGCTCTCTCAGAATGCTGTGATTTTCTTTCTCTTTTGCTTAAAAACCTACAAAAACGTATCGCAGCAAAACCCCAGGACAAACGACACACTTTGCAGATCAATGTCAGTCGTTTGCCTCTCAAATGGATGTTCGGGGTGATCATGTGGTAGCTTTGCTCATGCCAGCATCGCCGAAAAAAATCGAATGACTATTTCAATTCTTGCTATTGTGATTTGGGCTTGAATGTTCAACTCAGGTGCCGTTAAAAAAGAGAATTGGTTTATCCCTTAGGATCCCAGCCCTGTAATATCTTAATCTCAATCCAGTTTTACTCGTCCAACAAGAACGGAGATTATCCCGAGAGGAAATTCCCCATCTTATCTGCCTTATCTTGTCAAACCTTGACGTGGAATGATTGGAAAATTACAGCTTCATCCGTTGCCTGGTTGCAACTTTGTCATTCCGGTTTTCCGTGTCAACATGAGGGTTTAGCTCCCTGTTCTCTCCCGGTAATGAAGCGTTTTGAGGCTCTTGTCATCCGCCCCAACTTGAAACTTTTCAGTTTGCATGCGAGGCTCATTTGCTATGCATGAGGAGTGGGGCGCCCTTTTGATTTGCCCGCCTTACTTTGCCTCTCTTTCGTGCTCACCGGAGAAAGAGGGCGGCAGTGCTGGGGGGGGTTCTGTCCTCACTTTATGGAATTTGGTACTTTTCCGTTTGGTATGATGTATTCTTCCTCCTCCCGTTTTGAGCGGAGTGCCGATAGAGACCGTGGCGTCGCCGGGGTGGGATGCAAGAGAGAGAGAAGGGGGGGGCACCTTTGACACCGTAGCCACAATGAGGGTCCGCAAAGCTTAACTTTCCGTGACCTGCCTCCCCTTTGTATTCTGTCTGGGCGACATCTGGTGCCGAACACAAGAGCAAGAGTGCCTGGCTCCCATTTAAAAGCTCGAAGTGGCCTTTTACCCTTGTCGGGAACCCGAGGAGGCGACCTTGCTAACAGGAACGCCAAAGAATCAAAGCGCTCGGTGGTCCGCAGTGTCAAAAGACAGCGAGTTAATGGCTTTGCGGGTGTAAAATTCACAAGCAGAAGCCATAGCAGGGTCATTAACGGGGAGTAATATCCAGATTCCGACTCGCCATTCACGGGATTGCGTGAAGGTTTTGGTGGGTGTTTCACGGCGTCACACTGGTGCTTTTCTCTTTTATTCCGGGTTGTTGGTTTACTTGGCCATCGCCGAGACCTCCGGTTGCTTCTCGTTAAACGGACACCAAAACCGTTGCGTGCGCATTATATTATCTTTTTGGCCGGCGCATTTAACATTGACATGATCCTTCGTTGGAGAAGACGGCAAAACGCTACGCGTTCGCCGCTTGCCTGCGCCTTCTCATTTGCCCCACAGTGTCGTCGGCGTGGCGTGGAGGGGTTTGTTCAAGTTCGCCGCGGAGCTGAGTGACTTGTACCCACTCCCCTTCGTCATTCGCTCGAGCTCCTTGCTGATCGTAGTCAAATCTCAAATCTCCTCACAAGATCTGGGCTGCCACGACGATGCCCTTAACCGTCTGTGTCAGGAGCTAAGTGGTTTTTGATTCGATATGTTAAAGCAACGCGATATTCAAATCTCCCCCCCCCCCCACCCCTTAAGCTATTCACTCCCTCACTCCTTGTAGTGAAATGTAAAATGTATCCTTTCTTGGCCCTCTTATCGACGTTTTGCTGTTGGCTGACTTGATGTTCTTATTTTCTCCCCGCCAGTTCATTTCCCTTTCCCGATGGAATACGATTATCTTGGAGAAATAGATTTTGGGGGGGGGGGGGCAATCAAATTACCGTGTTGGGTTTTTAGCACGTGCGCCGCTCCTGAGAGGTTATTCTTTTTTTCAAAAATGTTTTTGTTTTTATTGTTCATCCATCACGCCGTGGACACTTTGTGGAAGTCAGCGTAAGCCCGAGGTGCATTTTAAAATGCATTTATTTTCGCTCGCTCACTGTATTGCAGTTCGCAGACTTGAAAAGGCACAAAAGGATTGCCTTCGACTTTCCCGTATCTGACATCACTCACAGTATTGTGCCGCTTGACATTGGACACTAAATGTGCTCTTAACATTATTCACCTGGAAAGCCCTAAAAGCCTCCCTTTTTTTTTCTTTGTATGATTTAATAAATCAACAAATGCCATCCAGATGTGACAGATCACCATTGAGGCTTTCCATCTTGTTCACGGCGCATTATATGCCCACCTGGTTTTTAACGGCAAGAGCAGACAGACAGCATGCATAAATCTTGTTTCCTCCTAAAAGGAAAAAAAAAGTAAAGTTGCAGTTGTCTACTTCCCCTTTAACTCATTCACTCCCAAAGACGTTTTTAAACGTCTTTTCAGACTTGGTCTAGAATTGGCTGGTACTGAATGAGTTAAACGGGTTCGGTTTATTTTTAGTGATATTGGCCTAGGTAGGCTCAGACGGTGGTGGCGTGCAGTTTCTTATCGGAGTCCCCACAGCTGCTCCAGTCGCTTACGTCGGCCGCCTCGGGCGAGACCGCGTCTTGGCCGCTGGGCCCGAAGGCCGAAACGCAAGGAATCAGTCAGCGCAGGCTTCGCTAATCCGCTTGCTCGTTAGCCGCGCCCTCTCCCTCATCAGCCGTTCTAATAGGCATGTCCTAATGAGCTCCTAATTGAAGAATGCTAATTTGCACGGCTGGCCTCATTGTCTGTCTCGAAGCATCTTGAAGCTCAAAGCCGTTCAAAAGCTGATTGGGAGTCTAATATGATTTGGTCTCGGATAAACTCATGTCCCCGATCCCAGATTTGAGTCTCTTTTTCGCGCTTGATTCTTGACGGGTCCTTTGGCGCCAGACGCGGCGAATGTTTTCAACGCCAGGAAAAAAGGCGGGAACAGGGAAGTGATACAAACGCAGCGCGAGGAGGCTGGCGCGGCACATTTTTGATTTGCACGAGAGCAGAAGGCATTTTAACTCTTCATTTTGATAGCCGACGATCTCTCAACAATATCGGTGCTTTTATTTATCTTTTTTTTATACTGTGAGTGTACATAAAATGATTTTCCTCGAGAGAACATGTTCAAACGGGCACTGGCAGCTTTATTACGTTGGCCGTGCGCCATCTCATCGAAGAACGAAGGTACGGAAAGCTCCGGGATGACCCGAAACAATTTCTCTGGCAATCGCGTATTCTCAGAAACGGGACCTCCTGTGAGCTAGCGCATATTAAGTAGTCGTTTACTAGGAAGCCATGAATAAAATGGATAATTACATTTCTGTGAATGTGTTTTCAATTGTGCACTATTCTGATGAGTTTCCTACTTTTTAATTATTATTTTGTCATTTGCTTCCAGGCTTGCTGACTGAAGGTAGCCCATAAACAGGAAGCCCGGTTGAACATGACTCATCAGCCACCGCCAGGGACTGGCAACCTCGCCCCAGCTTGCGGCTCGAGATGCCAACCCGATGCGCCCTGACGGAGAGGCATTAAAATCAACTCGCTGACACCCGTGTGGATACTTCCTCCCTCGGCCAAATTCCTCAAGACGTCCCTTCCCCCCGACTTGGTCCTCGCCCCACCATGATGCGCTTCCTCCCCCTCAAACTTGGCCGCGTGTACCGCTGTCTGAAGCTCCTGTTTGTGGTGGGGCTGTTTGTCATCCTGCTGATGAACACGCACAATCTGTTCGCCTCGTTCCAAAAGAACGAGCTCACCGACCGACGCTTCATCAACCTCAACAAGTGTCCCGCCTGCTTCGGCACCAGCTGGTGCCGCAAATTCATGAACGGCCAGGTTTCGTTTGAGACGTGGGGCCGCCTGCGCTTCCTCGACATCTTTAACGTCAAGAACGTTTACTTCGCCCAGTACGGGGAGCCCAGGGAAGGCACGCGGCGCATCGTCCTGAAGCGGCTGGGATCCAACCAGGAGCTGGCCGAGATCGATCAAAAGATCTGCAAGAGGGCTACGGGCAGGCCGCGCTGCGATCTCATCCAGGCGATGTACAAAACGGAATTTGCCCGGATCAACGGCGACGTACGTCTTCTGACTCCAGAGGTGGTCGAGGGCTGGTCAGACCTGGTACACTGCCCGTCGCAGCGGCTGCTGGACCGTGTGGTTCGGCGGTACGCCGAGACCAAAGACTCTGGCAGCTTTCTGCTCAAGAACCTGAAGGACACGGAGAGAATGCAGCTGCTCATGACCTTGGCATTCAACCCGGAACCGCTTGTTCTGCAGGTATTGTTTCCTTCATCGCGAAGGTTAAATCTTCATGATTATCGATATAGTGGTTGGGCACGGGCTGAGGGAAGCCCTATCACCGTATTTTCCACACTTATAAGGCGCACCTAAATGCATTCAATTTTCTCAATAACCGCCAAGTGTGCCTTATAATCCGATGTGCCTTATATGTGGATCAATATTCAGATTTCTCGGACTTGGTATTTTAAATGTTCTGTAAAGCGCTTTGTCCGTCTAGTGGATGTATAATGCAACCTCAGCCACGATTGTAGCTTCTATTTTTGCGCCTTATAATGCGGTGCGCCCTATGAATGAAAACTGTTTTAAAATAGGCCATTCATTGAAGGTGCGCCTGATGCAGTGTAACTCCTCTACAATGAAATCATGTGTGCAGCAAGACATTTTTCACAACAGGGGACTTTTCACTCTAGCAAATTTGATCTCAGATGTAAACACACACAAACGTATGTGCACTCTTTATTTTTATTCCAATAGTGCATAAGTATGAGCATACACTTATTTGACACTTCATATAGTCAGTGCAGAAAGAAAAAAACAGGAAAGAAATTGCAAAATTAACGATCAGCATTCACTTTCACTTACATCTGTTTCTTGCACAATGTATTTTACTTTTGCTTCCTCCATCTTTCATTTTGATCACTTTTACCCTGTCTTCAAGCGTCAGAGCTCTTCTTTTCTTCACTGCTTGGCATGCAAAGGTCCGTTTTGTAGCCATTTCAGCAATGTCACGTTCGTGCTGCGTCTGAAACTAACAATAACAAATACTTCCTGTACTATATACTATTTTTATAAGAGGTGCATGTGTTAAACCAGTGTGGTGGTTGCTGTTGCCGTTTCGGAGCGAAGCAGTAGGAGTCGCTGTGGCAGGCTGAGGTCGCATTAGACTTTTGCGGAAGGTTTGTTTTCGTTGTAGTGCACCTCGTTGCGAGGCAAGGGTGGAGAAGATGATTTCGTATTACGCAACAGGGGGACTTTTTGTTGTTGGGGGAGCCGAAAAGTGGGAATGGCTTTCATGCATTTCAAGATTTTTTCACACTCGGGGGTATTTTCCCCCATGTAGGTTTCATTGTAGAGGAGTTTCACTGTAATGCGGAAAATTCGGTACATTTTTTTTAAGCATGTTGCTATTAGTATCGACAACCTAATCATAAAATTCAGACGTATGGAGGTGGTGAGTTGAAGCTGAACAACATGGTGCTGATCAAATTTGCCTTTTTTTTTTGTCGTTGTTGTCCTTGGCTGCCTGGGAGATCTGCGCTCTCCTGAGTGACATGATATTTTCAAATTCCTGTGAGTTTCCACTGTCTGGAGTTTCCATTTACTGTTGTTTTGATTGGCCGGAGTCATAGCACCAGGTTGCTTCTTTCCGAGTTACCTTTGGCGAAGATCACCGGTACAAAGCATGTGAAGCCCTTTTTTTTTTTTTTGGAGGGGGAAATGCTGAGTCGGACTTCCTGTGCTCCTCTCCCATATATATGTACAATTAGGAAGAACTATTGCAGCCTCCAAGAACATTTGGCAACTCTCGCAGTCTCGAGAAGATGGTTTTGAGAGCCGCGGCCTCCCAAAAGATGAGAGGCATTGGCTGGCGGCTATACTACATATTCAACACTATATGTAGGGCATATTTGAATTATTCAAGATTGCATCTGCAAACGGTCCAAGTTGTTTTTAATTTTAATTCACGTCTGTGTCCGGTGGGCTGTCGTCAGATGCGGGCGACTTTGCTTGGAATGGAGTACGAACAGGATAGCACGGGCACTGGCAAGTCTTGTTTTGTTTATTTTAGCTGGATGCTGTCATAAGAATGCCAGCTATCCCGCCCCCCCGCCCCCCCCTTCATTCAGACGTTAACTATTCTGCTATAACTCTGACGGTGGCCATATGCTGAAAGAAAACCACCTGAAGTGGTCGCAGACCAACTGAAGGCCTTGACTACCAAGTCCTGTCGGGTGGTCGAAGTGCACAGCTGGCGCTGACATCTCAAGTAGTTCGCGGCGTGTCTGCCGTCTGTGGCAGTCTGTCCCTCCCATCCACCCTGCTCTGCGATTTACAAGCATCCAATCAATTTCAATCTGCCATTGACCGTGTCTCGACACAACAACGGTCACATGCGGACATTGAATAACTTTCAGGGCTGACCTACAACCCGTGGCCCCCGCTTTTTATACACCATGAGGTTGGACACCTCCGGGCATTCCACCAGACAAAAAAAAAAAAAAAAAAAAGCGAGATCACCTTTTATGTCCGGCTAACGTCTGATTAGCGTTGCGTGGTCGCTCGCCCTCCCCTTTCTGTCTCCTCTGTTGTTCTTCCCCTCTGTGTCCGTATTTCTGTTTTTGACAGTTTATTAATATCTGCTCCACAAACTCCGGATTAGTTAATCACTTTGGACTCTTAACGTTCTACCCTTCGCCAAACGGTATGGCGAGGGGTAGAACGGCAAACGTTTAGTTCCGCTGTTTCAAGTTGCCTCGTTGCTATCTTCAGTGAGTTTTTGGAGGCCTTCGCGCAAACATTTATACTGTTCAGGTTCGCCGTCTTTAAGCACAGCCGGTTTCTCGCTTTCATTGTTTGGCAGTGCCTCTCTTCCCCCCCCCCCCTGGCTTTATTCAGTCGAATCATGTGCAGAACATTTCTACTGTCTGCTCAGCGAGCCGAGCTCCCCACCACACCACCCCCTCGATCTCTCTCCGAACTGGCTTGTGTTTGTGCTCTTTTAAGCCACTGGCAGTAAATCGTCCCCTGTTTCACGATGAGACACCAGACCTCCTTTGTCCGTGGGAAACAATCTGCTGTGCTGTTTTGGCTCCGGCCAACAATGGCTCATTTTTGTGTGTTGGGCAGTACATGAGGCATACACAAACACAGCTTCCATTCCTCTGTCACGTGCAAGAACATTTGGCCACGGGGAATAAATATTTTTAGATGACCAAAAAAAAAAAAAAAAATGACTGTGGCGAAATACAAAAGCGGAGGAAGAGGTTTTGTTTCTCTCGTTTCCTCTCCGCTGAAAGCGGCGCTTTCCCTGAATAAATATCACTGCTATCAAGTGAAAAGATTTCATCTCCACGTTAATGATTATCCCGCGTCGACGTGGAGTTAGCTGTATAATTTAAAAAAAATAAATAAATTTGCTTTTGCTCAAGGAAATCAATCAGATGACGAAGATATGCTCCTCAACTGTATTTGGAGAGCGCTTTAAAACAACCACCCTTGTATACAAAGCGCTGTACATGCAGCAGAGATCGATACGACAATAAATTAATAACAAAAACAACAAAACCGTAGAAAGGAAAACAGTCAAAAAAAAAAAAAATCAAAATTTCATGCTTAATGAAAAGCCAAAGGATACAAATGAGTTTTGAGACGAGTTTTAAAGATGGGCAGCAAGGGGGCTTGCGTTGGGACGTCATTCGAACGGAAAAGACTCGATCCCCTCTGAGCCTCCGCTTAGTTCTTGGTACCTCGAATAATGTCTGGTCCGCACACCTGGACCTAGGACAATAGGATCTTAAAAAGGACGCTAAAATGTATCGGGAGTCAGTGAAGGGATGCCAGAGTCGGACTTATGTGCTCCCTCTTATGAGTACCAGTCAAAAGGCGAGCAGCAGCATTCTGGACCAACTGGAGACACTCAATGGAGGATTGGCTGACGCCAAAGGAAAGTGCATTACGCTCTGATCAAGGGTTTGCCTTCTTCCTTAACAAGAGAAGTCACGTGTTGCCTCATGATCCTCTTATTCGAGTAGTGGCGTCATAATTCAGTTGAGGTGAAAAATCAAGTCATAAAGAGGCAGCCCGGGGGCTAATTCTGGGGAATCGATTCGGGCATATTTGAATGGATTTCTCTACCCCCCACACTGGACTCTCTCCACCGACATGCTGAGCCTGCAGCGTCGCCCTCCTTCACTACAAGCGAGAGATGGCTCAGTGAGCATTCCGCCGCATTAGCGGACGTGAAAAATTATTTGCGCACTGATGAATGCCTCTCGAGTTCAGACGTGGGGGGGCGGGGGAGCTTAGTGCAATGCACAAATTTACTACGCACTAATGCTCCTTCTAATTAGTTTACAAAGCGTTCAGGTAGCGGTTCCTTAGCTACTGACCCGTCCAGTTCACAAACATTGCCTTCGTTTTGATGGCAAGTCGAATTCTAACGTGATTCGGTGATAAAATTGCTCAATTGCTCCCTGGAGCTCTTCGTGTTTTGGAAAAAAAAACAAAAACAATTTGTCACCACATTGAACCACTGTCCTAAATGCACGTGAAATGAAATGTGGAAATTTTTTAAATGAACTGAAAAGAGCCGATGAGTACCGGCGTCGCTTCTGATTGGGTAACGCAGTACAAAGACGAAAGCGTCGCAAACGCTTGTTGTGCTTTTTTTTTTTTTTTTTTTTGACGGAACATGCCTTGGGATGTGTCCTTCGAAACGCTGCTCACCCTTTTCTCCTTCCACTCTTCGTCATAAAGCTTCTTTTGTATTTGCAGTTAATTGACCATTCTTGGCGCCTCTCCTTTTTTTGAGGGGCCTGGGGGCGAAATGACTCACTGATTCATCAGGTGACGCTCGCGTTTGATGGGCCAGATGTACTGGAGCCCAATCGGAAATGAGTTTGATTTTTGCCCGGTTTTCCGTTCCAAATCATGAAAGCCTTGCGAGGGGGCCAGAAACATGTGACCGCGCTCGCACCCTTTTTTTGGTCCTCTGCTCCGTTTTTGCTCAGTGAAGCTGAGAATAGGACCTGACAGGCTGCGGGCTCGACTCAGCCAGCGGTACTCTCATCTCCTCCAGATTCAAAATCTGTGCTGCTTTCCTTTTGCCTTTTGCGTCGCCGCCTTCCCAAGAACCGCCTCCTCACTTAACACTCGGTCCTCGGCTAACACAGACATGCTCATCAGAACCCATCCTGTGGCGTGGCCATCTGTTTTTGTTTTTTTTTTCCCCTGCACAACATGTGACCTCAGCACCG